TATAGATACGACCAAGTACATACATACGAAACACACGAGATAGCTTTAGAGCTAAAGATATGAAATACGGATACGACGATATCTGAGGATAGATATACTACACATTAGGCTAATATATTATATTTGTCGTACGACAAATTCCTTGAAGGTATTGATCGATTATGCAATAGTAAAGCTTTCAGATCTTGAAAAATTTTCTACCTTGTAATCACAATCGATCACGTTCAAAGATTTTGTCGTACGACGAAATGGGATAAGTATTAGCCTTAGATTTAACTCTTTAAATCACAAGAGGACCGTGCGTAGAACGAAAACTTTTGTTTGAGGATGGAGGATTCTAAACGATGTACGATGCCTTATAAAAGTTTGCAAGATTGGGAATGGCGTCCCCGAGAAAAGGGACATCTTCCGAAAGGTAGAAGAGACAAAAATCAAGACATCGTCGATTCATCTTTAAATGCTATATCGGGAACTGGCGGCTCGATGACCGAAGCTCGCGTGGAGCCAGGATGGCGTATCAACGATATCCTCTTGGCAGCCAAAGTTCTCCAAAATACAGAACCCTCGCCAAATTATGCTAACGAAGCCGAGATGAGACGCGTCTTTGGTTTAGTATACGACGTTCTGAGATGTGAGATACAATTCCCGGAGCACATACAATATAAATCTTTTTCGTCTTTTTTCTACTTTCTACGGGCTAAAGCATTCGTCTTTCTCCAACATATTTTCCTTAATAATAATAACGATTATGTATAATAATTTGTTGCAAACTTTACAGACAAAAATATTCTGAATCGTGCTCTCGTAAACGGTGGATTTTGGTATCGAAATAATGCTCTAAAATCACGAGAAAGAGTAGTTTGGTTGCTGCTGTACGATATGCAGGGAAGAAAGTTTGCACGCCGACGAGATGGGAGCGCACTCGAGATGCGAGAGAAAATATTCGAGGTTTAGTGTAATCACGATGGCTTGCTTTTTATTCCATTTTCTTCGAATTTCTTTAATTCTTTGTATTCTCACTTATTGATTTTGATATTATTTGCGACAACGCGACTTTCGATATACGCAACTTGTGAAAAAGTCGGTTATTCAGTTTTGATTATACCGCAAATGCTTCTTCTTAATCTTTCTTCTTAATCGTTAAATTAATTAGTCAACATTAATTTCTAGCTTCAAATCGCGAGTGGTCATTGTAAAATAACTTTATGACTAATTTTTTACCAACAAATTTAGGGAAAAAAATTTTAAATAGATAAGAGGCTGGTTACAATTGTGCGATAGTATTCTTGACTAGTATTATTTTCTTGACTAGTATTATTTTCTTGACTAGTATTATTTTCATATTGTTTCAGACTGTCGGATTAAAAGACATCGAAGATGCTCTTTTGAAAGCAAAGACGCATTTGGCGGCGAGCATCTCGCGTCTTCGTATCGCCGGTTCAGCACTCAACCTTGGTTACTTCTAGTTTTTAGTTGCAATTTACATGAAAATCTTTTCTTAATTGAATAGAATAGAAACGTGATTCTTCGCAAAATATCCATAGGCTACTATTCATAGTCAGTTCTTATATTTAAAATCGTTGCAAGTTGTATTTTCAGTCGACTGTACATAGCACTTTTTTATTGAAATAGAAAGTTTGCACTTGATGATGTTCATAACAAATTTAAAATAAATATAATAATGGTATGTTATATATCCATAACGTACCATTTGTTTTCCTATTCTTCTTTTGCTTTGATTATCATGACAATTTTGCTATAGCGAAAGTTAAAAGATCTTAAATACATAATGATTAACTATGAATATCAGTCATTTGTGTCAATTATTGATATTTTCTATTGCGCATCTTTTCTCTTTCCTCTTGTCATTATCTTTCTCCTCTTATTATCATCATCATCATCACCATCATCATCATCATCATCATCATCATCATCATCATCATCATCATCAGCAGCAGCAGCAGCAGCATCAGCATCAGCATCATCATCATCATCATCATATCGTTGTCATCATCATCATCATCATCATCATCATCATCATCATCATCATCATCATCATCATCATCATCATCATCATCATCATCATCATAATCGTCGTCATCGTCATCATCACCATCATCATCTTTATTATTATCATTGTCATTATATAAAAATTTGTGCGCGTGTATAATATATATTTATACACATATGTACGTATGTCATGTTCAGACGAGCTTCTTCCGACACATCTGCGTATCGCGGAAGGGATAAATTGGGCTGATAAAGGAGCGATTGCTTCCGGATGGATCAACACTATGAGAATATCCAGTAAAAACGAATTCGTAAGAAACATGTCAAAGTTAAAATTCGAACTCTGCGACGATATCGATGCCGCGGAACTCGGCGAGAATGACTATATCTTTGATCCAGTTTGCCCAAAGATGATTAATTTGCATGATAGAGCGCGAGAGAAACTCGCCGTGTCCGATTTGGTTCGAGATCATCGATTTGTCTTTTTGGTAAATATGTATAATTTCTGCTTACGCACTTGTTGTTGAAATATAAGACGCAAATATAAGACTATTATTGTCGAAATATATGTCGATGAGCGAATGATGGAAGAACAAGAGTGGACTTGTATTAGGAGAGATCGTTGTGTCTTGGAGCGGCTGCGTTAGCGCAGGCGATACGCGTAACGCGTCTCTGCGGCCCCGTGATTCTCACGCACTCGATCGCCCCTCGTCACACGGGGTATTTGGCGGGTTTACTGGCCGACATCGAGGATGCCGGGAGACTTCTAGCTTTCGACGCTGGGAATCGTCGTTGCGAGTACGAAGCCTACCTCACGACTTTAGGCGTCACTCTGCAGCAATGTAGAATTTTTTCAGAAAAGTAACTAAGTGACTAAGTGACTCGGTTGCTTCATGGATTTCTTGCAATTATTATCAATCTCTACTTGTTATACTATTTTATTATTACTATTATCACTCTTATTTTATCACTGCTTTATCATTATTATTACTGCTCCTATCGATATTACCCTACCCTTTTTGGAAATGTTACTCTTCTTTACTCTTCATTAGATATACCTCGGCACCGTCGTCCGTCGAATTGGAAAGAGCGACTGTCGTTCTAGCAACTCCTCCGTGCAGCTACACCGGCATCCGAGACGTTGTTGACCTCGCTGTTGCTCGTGGTGGTGACACCAACTTGTTAGAATCATTAACCAGCGATACAGCTGATGGGATCAAACAGTCCCGCGCTCTTCTGGCTGAGCAATTTTCCACGCTTAAGTACGCGCTAACCAGGCCAAATATACAATTTTTAATATACGAGGTTCATACGATCTTGCCGTCCGAAACTATGGAAATGATTCGACAGGTTGTCGAATATGCCAATCAATTGGCAACGGAAAAGTACATTCGCGAGCACCCCGTGAGTGAGATTTTGTATTATTTGAAATGTTCGATTCGATACCAATCCCAAGTTACCAATCCAAGTTACTTGTAAATAATAAAATTATTTACGATGAATAGTCGCCTATGTCTGAAAAATTGCCATTGATCGTTTATCGTTTATGCTCGATCGATCAAGTTGGCGATGATTTGCTAAAAGTTTCTTTATATATCATCATTTCTTCGCTTCCTCTCCTATCAGGATCCGTTTGATCCGTATACTTTGTCGTTTTGCAGCCAAAGAGAAAGACTTTATCCAAGGAGACTAGCGGAAAGTTTTCCAAGACGATCAAAACTGGTACAAACTGTAAACAAGAACAATCCCAGAAACATTGGGAAGACCAGTCGCCGCACCAGACGCAACATGAACAAATGTTTTTGTACAAACAGGAGGACGAGGAAGAGAATGACAAGTTGTTGGACGCGACTGATGTTGTTGTAAGATTATCTATATTTTCATCATTCATGTGCATTTTGTATTTATCGCCTATTATCTAATGATATTAGTAAAATTACTCGGGAGTTAGATTCCCAATAGCGATTTATTCGAAATGGGGACTCTCGATGAAATTTATGGCGAGGATAACGAATGTATGTTAGATCCTGGTTGTTTCATTGCCATAATCAAACGAAAGGAAATGATGCAATTCGATTCGCTTTTCATGATTAAAGTGGCAGAATCAAAAGGGTTATTTGGCGATCCCGACAAAGAACGAAATCCAAAGCAGAGGATTCAAGTACTGCAGACAGCACGTCAAACATCGAGGATGAAAAGTTTTAAACGAGTCAAAGTATGTTGCTGTATTTAAATATTTAAATATCTAAGTTATACCTTGTTTCCCTAGTAGTATCAATAGCGGCATAATACAATACAGATGTATACGATATAGATACGATTATTTTATCCGATTTCGATCGATATATCGAGATTTATTAACAATTTTCTGTCTCATTAACTAGCGTCCTTCATCTCGAGACACCACGTTTGCTCACCTCTCGAATAGCCATGGTCTGATTTATATTTTTTAATGAACAGGTCGAGATAGATCGCGTAGCAGCGCCTACGCATGCTTGGATATTGCGAGCCACGAGTAAGCGTCAGTTATGTCCTCGTCACAGTCGACGCATCGTTCAAGATGAAAAGTTGCTATCGATGCGAATACATGAAACGCGAAAACGAGATATACGTCGATGGTGGCGAGACACACTCACGTTTCTAGTTGATCCGGCAAGACATAAGAATGTTCGGAAACATTCCGTTCATCAATTTCGTGCGATGCGTTCGGATCCGTTGACGCAAAGATCACTGTATCCTTCTCACTTAAAGAAGATAGCGTTGTTGTCGAAGCGATAGCTTTCGATCTGTCCACGGCAGAGTGATCTAATAGTCGACTTTATTTAGAGAATTCCATGTAATCGTAAAATTATATTCTTAACACCCTTATAATTGCCAATTGTTCTTTAACGGAATCGGCGTATCCGTTAAAAGAGAGGATTGTAGCATCTTACTGATAACTTTATCTATAAAAAGAAATTTATGAGAGTGCAAGCGCGTGTGTTTAGCCTTAAAAAAAAAAACAACAAAAAAGTAAAAAGTCTGTAGTTCTACTCTTAAATCATATGCAATTGACTGGAATGCTGTTAGTACGAAAGCAAAAATACAATGCCATTGATATTGAGCAAAAATACAACGCCATTGATATTGAGTATATTCCATAGGATTTGGGATCGTGCATATTTTTATTTTTCTTCTCTCCTATGGAAACTATATTCCATAGGAGAGAGGAAAAATAAAAATATGCACGATCCCAAGTCCTGTGGAATATACTCAATATCAATGGCGTCGTATTTTTGCTTTCATCCTTAATAGTATCCTTAAAATTTGTCTCATTGAATTTACAAAATAAAGATGTTCTCGTGGAAATTACAAATTTTCTTGAAGGTTCTGTAGATGACACTGCGCACATATTTGTCTCGCATTCCTGTATTAGATACATATGTACAACTATGATATGCGATATCGATATTAAACTTGACCAAAATTCAATTTCAATTCTATTTTTATTTGTATAAAACATATGTAATATATATGTGTATAAAATATCTGTAGATTATGTTTTTATGATAAATTCAAAAGATGCAGTTATTGCGATTGCGCTTCAATGTGCAAACATTCGAATGCTGAAAGCACGTCTCGAATACGCTCCGATACTCCGATCCCGATATGACGATTGTCATTTTAATTGAATCGAAATGGCAATACAAATCAGATTTGCATAAATTTAATTAATCATCTTGGAGAAGAAATGGAAAAGCATTTTCATCTTTTTCAAATGCAATAAATTCTCTTCTCTTGCAACGTAAGCTTTTATTCGCGTTAATAATTAATAAGCGCCAAGAAATTGGAAAATAAAATAAGAAGAGTGTGCAATTTGATTTTGATAAATGTTCGTTTGCGTAAAGGAAATCAACATCGAAGCTTTTAATTGAGAAAGATTGAAGTCGAGCGTCGGTTACGTGAAGCATGTATTCGATATGGACAAAGTCAGTATTATCGTTTTGCCGCCGTAATGGCATAACGCGATACAGCTTGTTGTCACATTATCGCAACGTTACCAAAGAAGCTGTCGTAGAATCGGTATCTAAAAAAGTATAATTTTTTCATTCTACTTCTAAATTTTCTTACTTTTAATTTCTCTGCCTACTCCTTCTTTTCTCTACCTATCTATCTATTCATTTCTTTATCTCTATGCCTTTCTAATTTAAATGCCTTTTTCCCAGAAATATGATTTATATCGACTTGATAAAGGGCCATCTGAAAAGTCGAATTTAAATGTGAAAGATGCTACGTACGCATTGAAGACAATGAACTGCATACGTCGGATGGAGAACAGAGCTGCAGAATTGTACAGACAACGACTCATCAATGGCTTTTTACACTTATATGTTGGCCAGGTAGACGAGAAGAATCTAAATAATAAACCGATATACGTGCAAGCGTGATATCTCTGTGTGTGTGTGTGTGTGTGTGTGTGTGTGTGTGTGTGTGTGTGTGTGTAGCAAATGAAAGATGCGTGATATACGTGTAAATGAAACACGCACAATGCTTACGATGTGCTCTAGGAAGCTATAGCCGTAGGTCTTAGAATGGGTCTTGCTGAACGAGACACTGTTATCACGGGATATAGATGCCATGCTTTCGCTCTCGTATTTGATAATCCGGTTCGTTCGATTCTCGCGGAAGTCATGGGTCGCAAGACCGGTCCAGCCAAGGGTAAGGGTGGCTCGATGCACATGTACGGTCCGCGATTGTACGGTGGTGATGCTATCGTCGGCGGACAGGTAAATGCGCTCTCACTGTAATTCCTTTTGACTCGAGATGTGACAATCTCATCGAGTCCATTAATAGGTAGAGTTTCTTTTCACGATTAGGTACCTGTCGGCACTGGTATAGCTTTCGCCCATAAATACAACGGCACAGGTGCCGTGTCTTTCACACTATACGGCGACGGTGCAGCGTCGCAAGGTCAAATTTACGAAGCGTGGAATATGGCGAAACTCTGGAATCTACCGGTGGTCTACATCTGCGAAAATAATAGATACGGTATGGGCACGGCCGTGCATCGACATTCCGCCAACACTCGGCTTTATACACGCGGGGACCTCATACCAGGGATAAAGGTATGTACATACATCATATACTCCCGCGCATATATATATAACGCTATATTTTATTCCTTTATTAACGTTATATATCCCCGTTATATCTGCATCTGTAATATATGCGTGACATGTACCGAATGCTTATTAGGATTTTTTATAAAACGTATGCATATGCTTCGCAAAAATCCCGTAAAAATTCCGCAGGTCGATGGGATGAAAATTGTGGACATACGAGAAGCCGTGCGTTTTAGCAGAGATTATGCACTCAGAAACGGACCAATTATAATAGAGATGGTAACTTATCGTTACTTTGGGCATAGTATGAGCGATCCCGGTTATTCGTATCGTACTAGGCAAGAAATTAAAACTGTGCAAACCGAGCAAGATCCGATTATGTTATTTAGCAAACTCATCGTCGAGAAAGGTCTTATGACCGAAGAAGACGTTAAGGTACAATTTTTAAATAAAACATATTTTCAGACTCCGAGTGCGCGTTCTTTTAGATTCATTTTTCAATTTTTCAATTTTGGCACTAAAGATAAATTATAAAAACTAAAGATGAAAGTTATGCTTAAAATTGGAATTTACATTGAGTGATATTACGTTAATTACGATAATGCAAAAGAACGCGAAATAATAATGTCTGTCACATGGCCAGAATATACAGAAGTCAGTCTACAAACAAGTCGATGAGGAAGCGGAGCAAGCCAAGACCGATGAATGGCCAGAAATATCGGAAATTTCGACTGATGTTTATGTGAAACCATTAGAGAAGATTCGCGGTAAAGTTCCTTGGGAATTATACTGAAAGGCGATGTAAAATTGTGCAATTTCCCACTTGAATTAATTATTCTCTATGTGATCTTTTACACTCATAAAATTTAAATTATTTGCACTTGACATTGTGTTTGTAATATAACAACAATAAAGATATATTATATACTCATATACTCTAATCTTGTTGTAACTTTTATATATATATATATATATATATATATATATATATATATATATATACTCTATCGCATTCTCATAGCACCTCTAAATTCGTAGGTGTTTTTGTTTTTCTTTCTTCTTTTTTTTTTTTCTTTCAATTAAATAGAATAAGAAACAAAACATGTTCGGCAGTGCTGAAAATTGAATTTAATGTTACAAACACATGGTTCGACCCAAGATGTCCAAGTTATCCCATTTTTCCATTTGTTCGCGTCGCGACAAAAGCGCAGTCAATTTCAGAATCTTAAAATTTGATGATTAGATGATTTGACGATGGTTCAGCAAGGTTTGTGAAATTCAACGAGCATGTACACAGAGAGTAATAGTGTAGAATAGGATGGATTCGCCATTTCTCTTTCGTCGACAGGAACGATCAATTAAGACTGATGATCATTCTAAATGACACGAACGGGAGAGCACGAACGGTGGAAATGGTGAAATGACAGGATAGATGGACGCGGGCTCGATGAATGAGTCAGATCGTAAAAGATTGTAGGAGAAGCGCGGCGGAGTCTCGCGGGGGAGAGCGAGACGAGGCTGCACGAACGTCTCTGCGGGAGTCGCCTTACGTCGCCTTACACACTCGCACGTGTCACGTCGCGCTAATTGAATTCTAACGAGACGACAGTCATTCGACGATACATGGACGATATCCAATCGATTCAACGAGTCTATTCCATCTATTTGATTCGCGCGATTGTTGACAGTTTCAGTGGGAATCAGAACTTGGAATCTCGAATTTGGCAAGTACCGTTCCTGTTTTTTTTCCTTTTCGCAAATCTCTTTTCCAAATATACCGCTATCACAATCTCGCGATTCTATCTTGCCGCCCGCGAAAATGTCCAATTTCATTTCGATTTAGCTACGTCAAAAGAGATTTAAATTTAATTAGAAAAAAAATTCAGAAATTAGACGATACGGTATCCTTGCTACGAGGAACGAAGCGAATGGATCGAAGGGGCGGTGCCTGAGAGGGCGAGTTTCTGCATCACGTGGATACAGAAAGGACGAGGAGTGATTTAAGGTAAACGAATGGTCAATCATGAATGTTAATGGAACTCAACGAGCGACGACAAACTTCGACCGCGTCATCGGATCGAAAATATTTCAAGAATTTCTCGCTCGAATGAAATAATGATAACTCGATCGAAGTAACTTGAATCGAAATAACTTGGACGATTAGTACGAGATGAAAAGACAAAGCTGATTTATTCATCATATCGCACGGCAATCAATCTCGTCTTCTATTTCCAATGTAAAAGATATTCATCTTTGCTGTTGCTTTCGTTTGCTGCGTTATATTCTCAGATTCTCTTGCTATTCAATTTGTGATGACCAAGTATTGCAATAATTATACATTATGCATTGTGAAACATTATCTATTTTTATTAAACGCACATGCGCGTTAAACTACTAAATATAATAATTAAGTAATTAAATAGATGTAACGGGAGAAATAGTTCATATATAAAAATAACAAAGAATAAAAATTTAACGAAGATAAAACGTTATCTGTAGCGGCTATATCTCGCGGTACATCCTGTAGGAACTAGAATATAAGGATATATCACCACACACTAATGTTAAGCGTTACCACTGCTTTGAATCTTGTTAATGGAAAATTTCAGACTCGCCCAAATCGTTACGGTTATTTCTTAAAGGCAAACTGTTGACGGGAGTTCCAACACAGTTATATAGAACAATATGGAAATGGACACGAATATCAACGATGTATTGCGAGGTATGTATAAATAGAAGCAAAACTGTAAACGCACTGTTTGTACAATTATTACGTGTCTCCTCCTATCTCTACTCACCCTCACGCGCACCGGTGCATCCCTGCATCTCTGCTCGCCATAAAATCCTATCTGTTGACAGAAGTGATAACATTTCTCGAATGCCTTCGCGACGCGCAACTTCCGCTTGTGCTTGAAAACTTGCGAGAGAAGCTGTTGATACGTTCGAAAAACACTCTGAGCGCCAAGACAACGACGACGACGACGATGACGACGACGACGACGACGACGACGACGACGACGACGACGACGACTCCAGCATCATCTGTGGAGCCTTACTTGGATATGAAATCCGGCCCAAGAAGCCTATTGCTGACAAAGAGCGGAATCGATTCCGAGGAATACGTAGGAATGGAAGAATCACAAAAAAAGCAAACTCATCAAGATTACTATGAAACTTTCGAAAACGACTGCCAAATCGCGGCCACGCCGGACGCGAATGAATTCCACGAATCGAGCGATGATCAGAACGAGAGTCAAAAATTGATGGAAATTTATAAAAATTTATCAGCGATGCAAATCAGAAGCAAATGCTACAAATGCGGCCCGCTCTACAGGAAGGAAGGAAAAAAGTTATTTCTGTCGGAAAACCGTGCCTGTTGGATCGCATTAGTCGGATCGCATTTACTCATTTATCGAAGCGAACGGCACAATCGACCGTATGCGATCTACTCGATTCGGGATTACATGGCCCGTCCGGCGCCAAATATGATTCCTCGTGACCGACAAAAAAGCGAATCGGCTTTCGAGATGTACAGCCCTGGAAGTGAAACGTTGCAGTTTATCGCGAGGACGCCCAAGGATATGGAGCAGTGGATAGCCAAGGTATGCGAGGTCGGGTGTTGCGACGAGAGCGAAAGGAACAAAGTGGAAGCTTGCAAGAAAAAAAGGCGGGCGATCGCCGAATCCCCGTTGGTAGACGATCGTAAAGGCGACGAGACAATGAGGCTGGACGGGCATCGAAACGCGATCAAGCCAAGTGTCGTTGATAAATCAACGGCCAAAGCGGAATCGGTAAATAGCACAAACAAGGAAATCGAGCGAAAAGACGCAAGAGGAAACGCACCACCGCTACCAGCTCGAATACCGCGACGACTACCCTCTTTACCTCTCGATGATCCTCTCGCGGTGTCCTCTTACAAAACGACTGTCGAGGATGACGATGACGACGATGACATTTACCACAGAATCGAAGACTTGAAAAATGAAATGCGTTATCAAAATATGGTATTGTCAAGGAAGCACATGCATGCACAACAGGTCGATGCTAAAGACAAGAGATATGACGAAGCTACCGCCTACGATGATGTTCACGTGCCAAACCAAAGGAACGAAAGAAACGAAGAAAGAGAGAATAAGGGGCAGGTAGAGGAGAAAGATTCCCGCAATGCGGAGCCGCTTCAAGAAACATACGATGACATCATTACACTTTCACGAACCGATTCTACGAACATCGAACTAGAACGCAACCGGAACAAAGATGCATCTATTGTCGATGGTGAGAAAAAGGAAACGGAGGAGCTTTACGACGATGTCGAAGTAAGTCTTTAGCAATCTTAAATTTTAATATAGTTCATTACAATTAATGGGTGCTTTACATGGTGCTTTGTAAAATATACTCGTCACTTACGACGAGACAGACTTTTGTAACGCCTTTCTTTTTCCTCTGTTAAGTTACTCTGTTTATTCCGTCGAACGATCACTCAATTAATTTACTATCACGAGAACACGGATATAGCGAAAATAATGATCGCGGAAAGATAAAAAATAATTGTATTTCGAACATTCGAATAACTTTTCCTTTGTCTCTGTTTCGATATAGAATTTGGTTCCAAACAGGAGATTCGACAAAGATCGTATAAAGAATCAGAATGAAGTATCGAGCAAGCATCAAAAGAAATCCTTTCTAAACAGGGTCTTGAGTAGAAAGGAATCATCCAGCAAATCAGACAAGAGATATAAGAATAACATATCAATGAACCCATCATCTTCGATTACGAAAGAAAGGACTTACGACGACATGTCCGATTTGACGCTGAATCAAGAATTCTTAGCGGACAAGGAGGAGGAATTGTCGGAATATAATTGTGTCCCTCCACCCAGACCAATTTGCAAAGTGATAAAATCGCCCATCGTAAATCAAAATTCCGACGAAATTGAAGAATTTTATGATGATGTTAGCGCCTACCAAGAAGAATGTAATAAAAGTCATCAGGTAAAGTGATACATTCATCCTTTAAACGATAACTGCTTAATAATGTAAATTGCAATTTAATTAGCACTCTTTCTTCCACGACAGCAAACCCTCTCTTTTTCGACAGACGTTGATCGGGATTCATGTGCGAAAACGAAAGAAACCGCACACAACGTGAGGTATAATGTAGAATCGATGCCCGATAATGATTCTACTCGAGAGGAGATCGAGCATTACCAGTCGCCAAAAAGCGACTTATATATTCCAGAGACCGAACAATTATACGACGATATAGCATTGTGGGCAGATTTTACGACACGACAAAGAAGCATTATCGGAAAGAGAGAAGATGAGGATGTAAAATCGGTTGCTTCCGACAAGAAGACTTGGAATCGATTTACCGTCAACAGAAAGTCACGAGTCACGAACGACTTTAATGGTTCCATTGATATAAACAGACGAGCCGGTAACGAGGGCGAAGAAATCGAAGATTCACCTGAGAATAATGGAGTGATCAAAAGGAATACTTTTCAAAAATTGATTAGCAGAATGGAAAATTCTCTCGCCAAAGTTTCTACGAAAAATCCGTCTTCGCTCTCGATCGGCAAATCAAATGCACCAAATAACAACTCGTGAAGTTGACCTATCAGCTTTTGAATAAATTATTGACTTTTGCATTCAGAATGAGTCTTAGCCAAACACCGCTACGTTTTGCTATTTCCGAAAAAAAAGTGATTGTTATTGTTACGGTACTGTTTCATACATTGCTTATCGCTGATTTTTAGCGTCAAAATAGATCACATGATCAAAAATGATCATTCAAATTTCATTATTCTGCATCAACTTTGATCGCACGATCTATATTGACGCTAAAAATAAACAATTAGCGATGCAGAAAAGGTATCTTTTAGAAATCGCAATTATTCCCTAGCGTTAGGCACCTGTGTGCAAAAGCCATCGACTGTTTTTTTAATCGCATCTATTTGTCTCTTTCTAATTTTTCTTTTTTTCTCCGATATATTTAGATATATATTTACTTTAAACAAAAATTTAAGTAAAAATGGAACATAATGCAACTAAAAAATACAAATCTATTGCTATATGCACAGCAAATTTATTTAATAGCTTTTATAATATATACAATTAAGAAAAACAGACGTATACAAAAAAAAATAGTAAATTAATTTTTACATAAAATACACACGCGAGAGATATATTAAATAAAGTTGTTTACATGATTTCGATTTATGAAATTTTATTATTTGTGGCATACATATTGTGGCTTTGCTAAGAATTATATGTATATTCACTAAAATTTTTTTTCTGTAAATTAGGACCAGCCTAATATACATATATACATATACATATATATATATATATATTTGTGTGTGTGTGTGTGTGTGTGTGTGTGTGTGTGTGCACGCGCGCGCGTGTGTGTATATGTATATATGCAACTTCTTTAATATTATATCACATTACCATAGTTATTTTAAATATTACGGATTACATTTGCATGATAAAGCATGCTTGCTATTGAACACACAACAATTTAATGCATCGTATTTATCTGATATTATGAAAACATGAATATAATGTACAAAAAGTATTCAAGAAGACGAGAATTTCTAAATATAAATAGAGTAAAATAATAAATATTAATGTGCTGCCTAATAAGAGTATCTGAACATGTTTAAAACAGTAATCGCAATAATCGCGAAGCTAAGCCCAAACTCGTAAAGTCGCGTCCCAGCTTCCAGTCGACAGAGCAGTACCGTCCGGGGAAATTCTTAGACATGAAACTCGGTTTTCATGCCCATATAACAGTGCCACTCGTTGACACTTCAAGGTATCCCACACATTCACCGTGTAGTCATTGTATCCGGCAAAGAGCAAGCGGCCACTTATACTGAGATCAACCGCATTTGCTCCAAATATTATACTTTCTTTTGCATATACCGCAACTTCTCTATCAGCGCGCAGATCGAATAATCGACAAGTAGCATCATCCGAACCTGTGGCTACTGCATCACCACCTGGATGAAATCTCACCTGTGTGTATACCACAAATGTAACATTACCAACTTTTAGAGGAATACAAAATAAATAAAGAAATATAAAATTCGTATATAATAATTTCAATCACCAATATTATAACACGACATGTGAAAAATAATGTATAAATTAGATATTACATACTGAATTAACATCAGATTGATGTCCTTCAAAGCTTTGCACGCACTGACCACTGCGCATATCCCAAATCAAGACTAATTTGTCACAACCACCCGACACAAATGTATTCCCGGTTTCACTTGGCGCTAGATCAATAGACATGACATCGCTGGAGTGTCCTTGAAAACTCTGTAATAATTGCCCACTCTCTACATCCCACAAACCACACGTGCTGTCTCCACTGCCTGTTAAAATTTGCTGATCACTATTAGGAAATGCGCAGCATGACATATATGACGTATGTGTACCAACAGTCTTCTTATGAGCCGAAACATCATCTTCTAGACTCAATGGATATACTGTAACTTTATTATCCAGACCTCTAAAACAATATAATCCATAAATATTTCATCACACGAATCTAACATCCTTACTTCTACAATAAATTTTTTTATAATATACCCGCATGCAACTAAAGTGCCGCTAGGGCCATAAGCACATGCCATCACCCATCTAGTTGGCATACTAACAGCATGTTCCTTATTCGTTGTAAATGCATCCCATATAATCATTCTTCCATCCTAAAAATAAATTAATATATATCATTTTAATAATTTATGCAATATATAAATTATTATAAACAACTTACCTGTGATGAAGAAACAATATGACGTTTATCTGGAGACCAGTCGGAACATAAAACTTTGGCTTGATGTCCTTTTAAAATACGTCTAGGTTTTACATTTATACAATTAATCATCTCAAGCCTGTCTGCTACACTAGCAACTAAAACAACATACAAAAGATAAAAAACATGTGTATAATCATTGGATAAAATTATAACTGAATTATGCATTCATTTACGTGTGATATCATTTAATTTTTGTCGTTCATCTTCCAAGCGTATCTTTAAGCATTCGGCTTCCTTTGCCAGCTTCTCTATATGTTCCAACTCAGTAGCAGAGTCCATATTGTCTCACTTGCTGCAGACACTGGACAACTCTTTAATACTATATATAGAGAAATTTCACGAATGAATAATCCTCCATATGCTAAAATTATATATATGCAGAGTTGTGCACATACACATACACACCACACACACACACACACACACACACACACACACACACACACACACCACCACACCACACACACACCACACACACACACACACCACCACACCAC